TCTCTTTAGATATACTACTAGCATTTGAACCTCTATTACTAGTTAATGCTTTATACATTTCTAACAGTAATTACTGTATTTTGTATACAACTTGGTACACTAACTTTTCATCATAAAAAAATTTCAAAAACAAAAAGAAAAATATAAAAATTTATTTATTTAACAAAATGATATTAAAAGACTGAAACAATTTTAAAAATGCAATAGATAACATCTTCAATATACAAGCTACTCTTTTACTTAATATAAATAAAGATAAGATAAATAAGATCTGAAGTTTTTGGTTAGCAAAAACTAAAGAAACAATGAACAAATATATTCATATGAGGGCTTTGCAATAGAAAAGACAGAAACTACTCCAAAAATAAAAAGCAAGTTTTTGCTAAATTTGACTATAACTTAACATGGGTATATTTTTGCAATTATAAATAAAATCTAATTTGCATAATAAAAAACAAGATAATACAAGTTTTAAAAAAATTATACGAAATTAATTGGCATCTAAAAATAGTAAAAAGGATCATTAGTGATGATTAATTTCTAAAAATAGCTAATCAATCAAATTCGCACGAGTGCGATAAAGTTTAATAATTCTAAAGATGACCTCTAACACTAAAAAAAAACTAAAAAATATATGTATTCCAAAATTTTGTATTTATTAGTGGCTTGTCTATTTTGTATTATTCAAAATTTCATTTTAATCAAGTTGCTTTTGTGAATTAAGATAAGTACTAGTTTCTAGTTTTGTTTTGTTTTTGTTTTTTATTTTTTTCTACTAATTTTTTCTTTTTGTTATAGGTCTTCGGAAATGAATTGAGATCTGGAACTTGGGCTGGAATAAGATAAGTACCAGTCTCTAGTTTTGTTTTTTTTTTACTTTCTATTTTTTCTGCTAATCTCTTCTTTCTTTTGCAGATCTTAGAGAATGTTGTATGGCTCTAACGAATTGAGATCTGAAACTAGGGCTGGAATAAGATAAGTACCAGTTTTTAGTTTTATTTTTTTTCATTTTTTTATTCTTTCTATTAATCCTTTCTTTCTTTTGCAAGTCTTCTGGAATGTCAGGTGGTTCTAATGAATTGAGATCTGGAACTAGTGCTAGAATAAGATAAGTACCAGTCTCTAGTTTCTTTTTTTTTTTTGCTTTCTATTCTTTCTACTAATCTCTTCTTTCTTTTGCAGATCTTCTGGAATGTCAGGTGGTTCTAATGAATTGAGATCTAGAACTAGGGCTGGAATAAGATAAGTACCAGTTTCTAGTTTTATTGTTTTTTACTTTCTATTCTTTTTACTAATTTCTTCTTTCTTTTGCAGAAGATATATGGCCTTGAAAATGACATCAGAAATGAATAGAGTTTAGATTCGAGAATGGTACAAAAGCTAAGTACCAGTAATTTTTTTTCTTTGTTACTTCTTTCTATTTTTTGTTCTTTTAACTAGCTAACCTTCTCTTCTTGTAGATATGTGAATCTTGACAATGATGTCAGAAATAGAGTCTAGACCTGAGAATGTATGAAAGCTAAGTACCAGTAATTTTTTTTTTCTTTATTACTTCTTTCTATTTTTCGTTCTTTTAGCTAGCTAACCTTCTCTTTCTTGTAGGTATGTGGATCTTGAAAATGATGCCAGAAATGAAGTCTAGACTCAGAAATAGTACGAAAGCTAAGTACCAGTAATTTTTTTTTCTTTGTTACTTCTTTCTATTTTTCGTTCTTTTAGCTAGCTAACCTTCTCTTTCTTGTAGATATATGGATTTTGAAAATGATGCCAGAAATAGAGTCTAGACTCAGAAATAGTACGAAAGCTAAGTACCAGTAATTTTTTTTCTTTGTTACTTCTTTTTATTTTTTGTTCTTTTAGCTAGCTAATCTTTTCTTTCTTGTAGGTATGTGGATCTTGAAAATGATGCCAGAAATAGAGTCTAGACCCAAGAATAGTACGAAAGCTAAGTATCAGTAATTTTTTTTCTTTGTTGCTTTCTATTTTTCATTCTTTTAGCTAGCTAACCTTCTCTTCATATAGGTATGTGGATCTTGAAAATGATGCTAAAAATGGAGTTTAGACCCAGGAATGGTATAAAAGCTAAGTATCAGTAATTTTTTTTCTTTGTTACTTTCTATTTTTTGTTCTTCTAACTAGCTAACCTTCTTTTTCTTGTAGATAAGTAGATCTTGAAAGTGATGCTGAAAATGGAATCTAGATTTGGAAATAGTACAAAAGCTAAGTACCAGTAATTTTTTTTCTTTGTTACTTTCTATTTTTCGTTCTCATAGTTAGCTAACCTTCTCTTTCTTGTAGATATGTGGATCTTTCAGAAATAAAGCCTAGATCTGAGAGTCTGAAGGAAAATAAAACTGGTATAAAGATAAGTATACTGGTTTCTAGTTTTTATATTTTTTTTTGTAAATTTATGTTTTGTTAGTTGGGTAATATAAAAGCTTGAAAACTTAGAATTTCAAGAATTAGATCGATAAAAAGAATGAAATATCGTATATGATGTTATATATAGTAATTGTAGTCAATGGTTGGGATCAAGGATGTCATGTCATGGTAATTGTAGTCGACAGTTGGGATTAAAGATGTCATGTCATGGTAATTGTAGTCAACGGTTGGGTCAAGAATATCATGTCATGATAATTGTAGTCGACAGTTTGGATCAAAGATGTCATGTCATGGTAATTGTAATCAATGGTTAGGAGTAAGTATGATGTCATATCTAATAATTGTAATTGATGATTAGGTTTAAAGTTTGGTTTGTTGATATGTAAAGAGTTGAAAATATAGAAAATTTTCATATAAAATTAATAATAAACAACATTGTTTATTATTTGTATAATATAGTATAATATATTTTTTAATAAATTATTTTTACAATTAAAATATTTTTTTATTTATAAAGTATATTTGTAATAATTTTTATTTATAAATATATATTATTAATATAGAATTATAAAATAAAATAAAAATTTTTATATATAAGTAAAATATATTTTAATTATTATTTAATGTAATCTAAATATAATAAATAATAATTAAATTAATAAATAATTAAATTATATAAATAATTAAATTATATAAATATAAAATATTTTTCATTATTTTTTTGGTTTTGAAATTTTTGGTAATGGGCAATATTCATCTTGTTTTTGGGGATTTTTAATATATTGACATATTTGCTTATATAAATGCTATTGTCTTTCAGCTAATAATTCTGTAAGAAAAATTTCTTAAGAAAATCCTATAATCTTAGTATTTTTTGATCTTAAAATATTTATAATTTGTTTATTATTATCAATTGCTGTTTTAACTTCTACTTTACCTATATTATTTTGAGATAATATAAAATGATGTTATGTTAAAATATTAGGAATTGGTTTAAAAAATTTTAGTAAAAATTCTGTCCAATTATAAAAATGTACTATTCTATTCTTATTTTTATCAAAAATTGTTTGTGCTTGATTAAAATTTCTATTTGTTGAATCTTCAACTACTTTTACTAAATCATCAAGATTATCAACTTCTGATTTTCTTAATTTTAATTTAAGAAAATCAAAAAATCCATCAAGACTAAATTTTGTATGACCAGCTACCATAAATGAATATGTAATTTGAGTATGTAATCCAAATGCAATTCACCATACTAAATATATAATTACTGCATTATTTTTATTTTGTTCAGAACAATTATCTGCATGAATAATTAAATTGGTTTTACCTAATCTATAAAAAGTAAAATAATGATGTACTAATGATATAACTGCATTTGCACCTTTTCTAATACTTTCTTCTTCTTTTATTAAATAATTATACTAAAAATTTTATTAATAAATAAATAATAATTTAAATATTAAAATATTATTATTAAATTCTTATTTGAATTGGAAATGCATTTTCACAAATTCCAAAAAGTTGAATATTATAAGGAGATTTAAAATATATATTTTCCTTTTTAAAAATTTTAATATATTATATAATTAAATAAAATTAAAAATTTTAATTTAATTTAAATATTTTTTACCTTTTGTTGTAAAAAATATGGTATTTTTATTTGTTCAGCATAATCCCATGAAATATGATTTTCAAATTTTAATAAATTTGGCTTATTAGATTGAAAAAAATTAGGAAAATTGGAAAATTGTTGTAAAATAGATTTTGTTGATTGAATACAATTTCTAAAATTTAATAAATAAATTAAAATTTAAAATATATATTTAAAAATTTTTAATAAAAATAAATACCTATAATATTCTCTTTCTTTTTGTGTTTATAAAATATGATTATTCTATTCTTCAATATATTTTTCAGTTTTTTGTTCAGTCCAATATTTTGAATTAAATTTTATATTTTTACATTTATAATATAAATCATTTCGAGGTAAAAGAAACTTAATTTCTGAAATATATTTATTTCAAATATGCCAAAAAGTACTTAAATGAATTATATTTTGATTTTGTTCTTCTATTGCTGATAAATATAATTGATATAATGAAGAATAACTTTCATTTGAAGGAAGAAAAATTATTAGTAAAGTATTTTTATAAAAATGTTATCCTATATTAATTAAAAAATTAAATTAGTTTATTAAAAATAAAAATTTAAAAATAATTATAAATACCTGGTGAAGGTAAACCATGAATATTTGCATAATTAATTATAAAAATAAGTATATTTAAAATTATTTTAAATGATATAGCAAAATTACTATTTTTGTTAGTTAATTTATGAATTCTTGAATTAATTTCATGTTCAATAAAATAATTTCTAATATTTCTCTAATATTTTTCTCCAATTCCATAAATTATTAAAAATGCATCATTGCATATTTCTATTTCTTCAAATATATATTTACTAGCAAGTTTATTATGTCTTTGTTCTGTAGTAGTAATTTTTTGTCGAGCAGTTGCAGATAATATTCCAAGTAAAAACATATCCTTTTGATTATTATTTAAATTTTAAAAATTTTGATAATTTAAAATAGCATGTTTATGAGAAACTAAATTTTAAAGACATTTTTCTTTACAACATATTGTTGTTTGTAATTTTTTATATTGAGCTTCTTTATCTTTTTTTTCTAATTTGTTTTTAATATTTAGAATTGAATCTTCATTATTATCATCAATATTTTCAATTTTATTTTCATAATAAATTTTTTTAAACTTATTTATCTGTTCATTATTTAAAATAGGTTCATTTAAATTAAATTCATCTAATAAAATAGATTTATCTAATTCTTCTTGATTATGAAAATTTTTAACAATTGGATTATAAGGTATTATTACTTCAATATTAGATTGATAAGCTATTTGAAATTCTTCTATTTGTTGGTGTAATGATAATAATTTTGGATGAGTATTGATAAAAATACTATCACATAAAATAGAAGTTGAATTCATGATTGTAATTAAAAAAATTGATATAAAAATTTTTTTAAAAAAATTTATTTTAATTAAACTACTACTATTTATTAACTATAAATTATCTGTTAAAATTCAAATACATACTAAAAAAAATTTTATTATATTACTATAATTATAACAAATTATGGTAAATTATGACAATCATTAGAATAATTTTACTATATTACTAATCATAATTATATGATACTCATAACTTAATAAATTTTGTCTTATATTAATTATAGTAACAATAATTTATTTTAATAATGATATCATAAGATATACTATATAAAATATTTCTCATTATGCAATTACTTTACATAAAATTTACATATATTATATTTGGACCATACAATTAAAAAAAAACTAATCTTTAAAAAATCTTTGACTAAATTATTACTATTATTATCAGTTATTAAATGTATTGCATATGAGTAAATATGCAAAATAGAGTTGTTAATGAAGTACTCCGAATCATCTAGGGTGGCCTAAAAAGTGCAGTAACATAAGATTAGTTAGTGCTACTTATTTCATACACTAGAAAAAAAGAGAACCAATAAGTAACACTAACTAATCTTAGTCACCACACTTTTGAGAGCTACTCTGAATGATCCAAATATTTCAGTTAATAATAAAACATATAACCCACTTCAAAACACTCCAAAAGTAGGTTATATATTTTATTATAGTCTGGAGTACTCTATTAACAACTTTAATATAGAATTATGCAACAACTTGACATTTTCAAAGACTCTGCAAAAGAAGAAGTTAGTAAAAAGAATAGAAAATGAAAATGAAAAATGAAACTAGAAACTGGTACTTATCTTATTTCAGCCCTAGTTTTAGATCTTAATTCATTAGAACCACCTAATATTCCAGAAGACCTGCAAAAAAAAGAAGAGATTAGTAGAAAGAATAGAAAGCAAAAAAAAAATGAAACTAGAGACTGGTACTTATCTTATTTTAGCTCTAGTTCCAGATCTCAATTTATTAGAACCACTCGACATTTTAAAAGAACAAGAAAGAGAAGATCAGCTAGCTATAAAAATGAAAAATAGAAAGAAGTAACAAAAAAAAAAATTACTGGTACTTAGCTTTCCACATACCTACAAGAAAGAGAAGATTAGCTAGCTAAAAGAATGAAAAATAGAAAGAAGTAACAAATAAAAAAAATTACTGGTACTTAGCTTTTATACCATTCCTGGGTCTAAACTCCATTTCTAGCATCATTTTTAAGATCCACATACCTACAAGAAAAAGAAGGTTAGCTAGCTAAAAGAATGAAAAATAAAAAGAAGTAACAAAGAAAAAAAAATTACTGATACTTAGCTTTCATACCATTTCTAGGTTTAGACTCCATTTCCAGTATTATTTTCAGTATTACAAATAGTAGTGGTGTATGGTTTGATAAAGTAATAGAGTATGCCACAAAAATTATACTTGAGTATATAAAATTAACATACTATACTCATAATATATATTATATATAAAATAGTATAGTTGTAAAGAATTTAATTATCATTTAATAAAAAATATATATATATCATACTAAAAAGAATTTAGAACTTAAATTATTATTTTTACTGCTGCTTTTACCAAATTTACATCAAAAATTAAGATTTTCATAACAATCTAGCATTACAGTACTACCAATCAAGAATGTAGTCACATGACATTTTGACCTTAATATTACCATCATTTGGAGGTCCAAAAAGAGCATCTTTTTGATTATCAGCTATGATCTGGAAGAACTAATGCCTGCCATCATTTGAAGGTCTAAAAAAGGCATCTTTTGATTATTAATTATGGCTAAAAAAAAACATAAATTACACTAATGTCTATTGTCATTTAAAGGTTTACAAAAGCATCTTTTTGATTATCGACTATGACTGGAAGAACGTAAATTATACTAATGTCTGCTGTTATTTGAAGATCTAAAAAGGCATTTATTTAACATTTGTTTAGAACTTTGGCATTTGCCTAATTCTAAAGAGAAACTTGATTAATAAATAAAAATCTCAAACAGATTTAAAATGAATTGTAAACATGAATTAAATTGTTAAATTATTAAGTATACATAATCTACATACAAACTCATTAATATAAATTTAAAATTTTTGAAGTTTATTAGGTCCAAAGAAGTCCATTATAATAAACTTTCATTATACAGTTATAACTGGATTTATAAATGAATCTGCCTTTATTCATGAACTGAATTAACACAAATAAATAATTAAAACAAAGCAATCAAAAGTTGTAGAGTTTTAAAAATATACTCACAAGTTAAATAACAAAAAGAACCAATATCCAAATACAGCTCACTTTGGTTATAGTGAACTCTTGATATAATAAAGAATTTTGAATTATAGAATTATAAAGTACATCTAGTATTTTTACACTTTAAGTTATAGTGAGGACTTCACCATAGTGTAAATGTGTTGTAATCATTTGTTTATTGTGTTTTCTTGTATTTCTATATATGAGCCATTTTTATTTTTTGTTGATATATATATAACAAATGAATGTATACAGTTAACTTTCGTATAATGAACTGATAGTTCTTATAATAAAATTTGTTTTACTATATTCTGATACCAAGCTTTAATAAATATTTTTTAAAAAAATTCATTATACTATGATAGAGCATGGATGCATATAAAAAGGTTTATTGCAAGAATAACTGCATTGGCACATTAGGTCAGATTATAATGTGACTGCATCCTTGAATAGTAGTAATGCTGGTTATGAAGCCTGAAGTCTAGTTTCTCTAACACCACATTTGCATAATGATAACTTTATATACATTTGCATACTATACATAATATATTATTTTATACTCAGTTGTAATCTAGTCATCCATACTTACTTGTTTGCTAATTTAACATATTATACTCTACTACTTTACTAAATCATACTATACTACTATTCGTATTACTTCATCATTTTCAAGATCCACATACCTACAAGAAAAAGAAGGTTAGCTAGCTAAAAGAACAAAAAATAGAATGAAGTAACAAAGAAAAAAAAATTACCAGTACTTAGCTTTCATATTATTCTTGGGTTTAGATTTCATTTCTGGCATCATTTTCAAGATCAACATACCTATAGGAAAGAGAAGGTTAGCTAGCTAAAAGAATAAAAAATAGAAAGTAACAGAAAAAAAAATTACTGGTACTTAACTTTTGTACCATTCCCAGGTCTAGACTCCATTTTCAGCATCATTTTCAAGATCTACATACCTACAAGAAGAGAAGGTTAGCTAGCTAAAAGAACAAAAAATAGAAAGTAACAAAGAAAAAAACTACTGGTATTTAGCTTTCATACCATTTCTGGGTCTAGGCTTCATTTTTAGAAGATTCACATACCTACAAAAAAGAGAAGGTTAACTAGTTAGAAGAACAAAAAATAGAAAGAAGTAACAAAGAAAAAAAAAAAATTACTAGTACTTAGCTTTCGTACCATTCCTGGGTTTAGACTCCATTTTTGGCGTCATTTTCAAAATTCACATACCTACAAGAAAGAGAAGGTTAGCAAACTAGAAGAACAAAAAATAGAAAGAAGTAACAAAAAAAAAAAATACTGGTACTTAGCTTTCATACTAGCTTCAGATCTAGACTTTATTTTCAGCACCATTTTAAGATCCACTTACCTACAAGAAAGAGAAGGTTAGCTAGCTAGAAGAATGAAAAAATAAAAAGAACAAAGGAAAAAAAAAATATTGGTACTTAGCTTTTGTACCAATCTCAGGTTTAGACTTTGATTTAAAAAAAGAAATATATATATTAATAGTTTGTAATTTCATCATTTTAACTAATGCTATGTAATATTATAAAAAGACACAATTAAATTTTTTGGCAAATCTATTTTTAGTATCATGGTAAGGATATTCTATTTTTGTCTTGATTTGTTTACAGATGATCAAATTTTCAAAATCAATTTTCTTAAAATTATATATATTCGAGTTTCTACCCTTTCTATTACAAAGACCCCATATATCTTCATAACACCAAAGTTCTTCTTCACACTTTTACTAAAAGCTACCAAACTGCATTCTGTTTTAAAACTTATTAATAAATGTTTACAGTATTCTGATAATAACCTATCAAATAATTTAACAAAAGCTAACTATCACTTGTCAAAAGCAACTAAACTAGCAGAAATTAATATTCCTCTAATAATGCAAACACAACTAAGCTCCTCACTTTCTGAGTTAACAGTACAAATAAAACACCATAAATATATAATCTGACAGGTATGCAAATTTGAAAAAAAACAAAAGCAAAGTAAATGAATTAAATTTTATACAAACTATAAATACTCAGATTTTAAAGACAATACTAGCTATATATTAGATAGCATACTAAAAAAAAAAGCAAACCTAATTAGTTTTGAAAAAATTATTTTATTAGACAAAATAATTACAAAGAAAAATAAAATTAAAGAAGCAACACATCAATATTTTAAAGAATGAACCAAAAGTAACTCCTCTAATAAAAACAATGAAAGGAATAGAAAACAACCTACCTTCTACTTAAAAAATATCCAAAACAGTATATATAACAATCTTCTATTTTTCATTATGATAATAGAACTAGAACAAATGATAAAACTAGCACCCAAAGAGAAAGTAACTAGATTTTTAAAAATTGCAAATGAAGTTCTTCAATATCTACTCTTATCAGCACTCTTATTTCTTCTAAATATATTTAACAGTTGTATAACACAAGAAATTATTTCTGATTAGTAGTTACAAGCCAATATCTGGCCAATTCCAAAAAAAAACAATATTGCAACTATGAACTTAATTCTACTTATTCTATTATACTAATTGATTATATCAGAAAAATCTTTTCAAAAATTATAACAACCTGATTTACAAATATTTTAACTCATATCCAAGTGCTATCATCTTACAATATTGCAGCCTTTCTACATCAATTTATATTACAACCAATCTTACAACTTATTCAAATTCTTGAAAATACAACTACAAATAATAAGAAAATTTGGATTCTCTCTCAAGACATATCAAAAGCTTTTGATTTAATTTATATATCTATTTTATCCAAGGCTCTTAAAAAAATCTATATTTCAAACAAAGTTATAAACCTGTTATCATATTTGCTTTTATACTGAACTAACAGAATAATCACTATCTTAAACCTAACTGCACTATACTCAGTAAAAGATAGAGTGGAACAAGAAATGACAATTTTTCCTCTTTTATGAAAAATATATTATGATCTATTGATATCAAGAATACATAAAGAGCACTAGAGATTTATTAGTGAAATCTCTTCTCCAAGCATAAAAAAATACATATCTTAGTAATGGCATATATGGATGACTCACTATGGATTACACCAAACAAAATATCTCTTACAAACATTCTGTATATTGCCTTCTCTTTTAACAAATTTGCTAATATAAAAGTCATCTATCTAAATTTATTTTAGTTATAAACTTTCCAAATCCAAATAACTCTATAATTTTTAATAATGAATAATTAATTGCAATAGATCATAAAACATCTTTCAAATATTTGGAAGCATGATTCTTGACCAACAAAAAGCCAATACTAATACAAAAAGAAATAATAGCAGAAGTTAAGATCAATTTAAAAAAACTGCAATTTGCCAATATAACAGAAAAATAAGTGATTTATATTATAAACAGTATCATTATTTCATGTTTTACCTATTAGCTATATTTTTCATTTCTTTCTTTCTCACAAATAAATTCTTTTAACAGAGCATGCATTCAACTAGTAAAATATAAAGCAAAACTAGCACAAGGAGTTTTAAACTTTTTTTTATTTAATCCAAATATCTATGCATTAACAGATTTAGCTTAAATACAAACTTTAATACTAGTTTTAACACTACAAAAAAATCCAAACCATTTCAACTTTAATTTTTTATTTTTGAAATTGTAATTACAACAACTACAAGATGTAGCACTTATAAATATTTCAATTCTGATACAATTCTTAGTATTTCCATTAACACAAAAAATATACAAACATGTCAGATAATAATAGCCCTATATGCATTGGAAATGTAAACCTTATGAGATGTTGATGACTGGCCATATTCAAAAGAATTTTCAGACATACCAATAAACCAAATTCTTCTAAACTATTCCAAAGCTTTATATCTCAAGAAAAACTAAATAATCATAATATTATTAGCATTGAACAATTCTTGAATGCAACTAATACAGAACTTTTGATATAGAATAATTTTTACCACAATATCAAAAAAATATCTTAAGGTTAATGCCCTTATTGGTTTCACTTAATGTAAGGCCTAATAACTGCATCTACAAATCCATCATTAACATTCTCACAATTAAATCCTTACACTCTAATTAACTGGACACTTAGCAAAAAGGTTTGAATAATTACAAAGACATGACCTTCAAAAAATATATAACCCTTTTAACAAAAACCTAAAAGCTTGATACTACATTTTATATTTTAATAATATACTAATAGCATGTCAAGGATGTAAACTTAAAAACAGAACTTACTTATCTAAGTACTACTACTTTAATGCAACAAAACCAATTTACAATTTTTAAGTAGACTGTAAAAAGAAAATCTATATTGATCTAAATAATTTCAAAAAGGCAATAATCTTAATACCAGTGGTAACATATCAATTTTTTAACCAAAAAACTGCTCAACCTTAGCCAGACCTCTTTGCTTCTTTGCTAATTCTCTAATACTACTTTGAAACACTCTAACAGAGACTAATTTTAATATGAAGAATATAATATTATATATAACAAGTAACTAACAAAATGTAAAAAATAATTCTCATATAGTGGCAAAATGTTAACTTCAACACTTTTACACCAACTTTGGTTGCTTTACTAACTTCTGGCTTTCTTATTTAAACACTTTATTAATCTTGCTAATATTGTGCTAATCTTAACGAACCCCTATACTAATATAAAAATATATACTAACAATTCCTTACTAGTTAATTTAATTAATCTTATATAATCTATTTAATCACACAACTATCTTGTACTTAACAAGCAACAATATACCTACCTTATCTTAGTGCTAAAAGCAATAAGATATAATTATACAATCTTAGCAACTCTGAACAAAATCTCCAAATCCAAGAAACTGAAAACATCTTTCAATTAGACTCTACACTATAAAATTTTTTACATAATTAATTTGTTCCAAAACTTCTTAGCAACCCTTGTATATATTTGCTAAAAACTACAATAAAACAAATATATCAAATCATAAATAGACTAGTCTGATTCTACCAATAGCAAATTTTTTACTAGCACACTTTACAAAATTATATTAACTAGTCATTATCTCTACAATATATTTCATATAAAGAAAAACCCTTGGCTTTAGTAACTAATCTCTTTTTTTCAGTACTAAAAAACTTTAAAATTAAACTATTATTAAAAAAACTACCTATATATCTTTTGCTTTACTGGAGGAATACTATTAAATATTCAAACTATCTCTGTTACTTGAGCTTTTATTTTAAATCATATTAACAAACAAATACTATTAGATTTAATAGCTAGCAACACCTTGACACCTTTTGAAAATAATAAATACAAATACAAATACACTCCTTTTATTTATTACAACATTATTTCTGCAATATATAAAGAACTTTGACTTTTCTTCTAAATAATATAATATGGTTTTTTGCAACCAACTTTATCGCCTCTACAACCTTCAATACTGGCCAAAACTAAACCAATTTTACCTTTTCTACTAAATAAAAAAATTTATCATTACATTATTTGTAAACAATTTTCTCTTGGTTATCTTATTATAGACTAAAGGTTTATTAACTATTTTAGTAAATAATAGGTTAAAAGTAAAGTAGCTCTTACTTTTATCTTCTCTAGCTTAGTTTTTTTTGCATGTATCTTATATATATAAATTAACTAATTAATAAAAAGATAGAGAATAAACCTCTCTTTTAAAAACTAAAAAAAATATATATATATTATTTAATTATTAATATTTAATATATAATATATAAATAACAGCTTCAGATTAAGCATTATAAAAAAACTTACTTGTTTTGCTTTGCACATTAAGTCAAATTTTGTATAAGAGAGATTTTTAAAGAAAATAATAATTAGCTTCATATTTTAACTTAAGCTTTATTAATTGCTAAGTTTTTTAATTCTAAAACTAATATATATTGAATTAAAATATTATGCAATAAGTAAAAAAGACTTTAAAGGTATAGCAACTTAGTGAAGTAAATAAGTTGTTAACTCTCCAAATAGTGGATTAGGTGTTCAAATTTTATTAACAGCAAAAATTTAAATAATCATCTATGTAATACTTATATTATAACAACTGTTTCTAACAATTAAGTTAAGATACTTGTAATGATAATTATATTAGTATGACTGGCAGATTATAAGACATCTGTATAACTGGTTATATAAAGAAATACAGACTGGTATTAAGTAGTGCAAACTCTAAATAAGTCTTTGTAATTATGTAAATTTGTTAAAATTAGAAAACAAAAAGTTTATTTAAAAAAACCTAAGTATAAAAGTAGTACAGATCTTTGACAATAATATTGTAAAGTTTAGATTACTAAAAACAAATACTAATATAGAAATACTCAAATAGGCAAGAACTTTTAGATGAAAGTATTACCAATTAGGCTGCAAAAATTCTAATTATAAGAACTAAAAGAAAACAATATTGGGCCAATCTAATATATTAATAAACTGGTTATAGTTTTATATAGGTTATTTGATTGAAAGTTTAAAAAACAAACAGAGGTATATTAAAGTATTAAAGATATGTTATGAAGTAGATACTAGAGTTTAAATGAACTTTACAAAAATATAGTAGTTTAATAACTAGTTTTAACTACAAGTTTTAGTTATATTATAGTAATTCTAGATTAGTTATAAAAATGAATATAAAAGGTTTAAAAGGTTTACTTCAAGAAGACAATAATCTGAGCATAATCTAGTAATGTTAATATAGATTACAGGTTCAAAGAGTTTAAAATAAAATACTTAAGCAAAAGTATTTGGTATAGCAATTAGTAAAAACCTTTATGTAAACTTTTTAAATAGATAATATAAAAAGAATAAATTTAGATCCTACACCCTTGCAAAATGCTTAAATTCAACTCTCAGAGTGCAATATACTTATATATTGCATAAATGTATTAAGCAAAAGTTTTAGTAATAGAGTAGTTCTAATGATGCAGCATACATATGACTAATACTACCATACCTTAACATTAACTTTAATGCCAGCTATATTGTATCGATTAGTTTAATGCTGGTCATTTTGCTGTGCATTAGGTCACATGCATCTGTGTACCCTTGATGGCAATTTTAAAGTTAGACCCAGATCTATTCTAAGGATATCCTCCATAATATGATTTATGCATAACATGTGATTTATCATATAAAATAGCACTACTATAAAACAAAATTTACATATTATAAGATTACACAATAATCTCTTTATTTTTGAAGCTTGGAAAGATCACTCTACAAATTGTTGCATTACTAGTCATTTAACTTCTACTCTTCTCCTTATTTTTGTAAAAAGCTGTGTTGTGTCCCACTTGATTACAAATATGGCATTTGTAAGACCCTCTATTTTTAGATCCACTTCAGTGGCTCTGCTTTTTTTCGACACTACTAAGATATTACCGTTTTGGTGGCTGTCCTTTGATATTAACCTTGTTTGGGTTCTTTACACTTTTAAGGCTTTTTTTAATGTCTTTTTTATGTTCAATTTCTGATTCTTCTGATTCATTACTACTTTGATCTGTTTGCACTTTGCAGGCATTATTTGAAATTTTATTAGTTGTAGATCTTTTATGTGCAGTATGATTATCTTCTTTACATTTTCAGCTAATATAACCTTGAAGATAAGTGACAATTTCATTATTGTCTTGTTTGACTGCAAGTAATATAGCTTCTCAGGCTAGGCCCTATACATGGCCATACAAATTTCTTTTATAAATAGACTTTTTAAGTATAGAAATAGTTGTTGGAATCGTAGCAGGTTTTCTTATAGGTAAGATATTCTTGTCATTGAAAATACCTATTTTATAATTAAATATTAGATTGTCTGAAAAGGAATCATCTTGATAATGATCTTTATACCATCTATGAGGTATTATACTAATGTGAAATGCTGCAGTTTTTGAGCACATTATCACTCTAAAATAATGTCTACATATGATTCCTTTTGAAATTGATATTAGACATGAGCATAAAGATGATACTGCATTAACTACAACAACAAAATAGATGTAGTGTTTTTTTTCACTTCTTATATTTGTAATTTTCTATATTTCTAATACATCTTTCCATTCTACTTCATCAATAAGTGTCTGTAGCATAATAAGACATGCATCATATTGGTCTTCGATAAATCCATCATATACTAGTTGATTATTTTTCTTATAATACAAGGTATACTATTAGATAAGCTTGAATTTTATATATAAAAAAAAAATTATATACATACTTGTTTACTATGTAATTCTTCAATGTAGGTTTGATCTTTTTTACACTGATAAATAGACATTGTAACATTTCTATTTTTATTGTGTTAGCAATAAGTTCAGTGAGATATTCATTGATAATGTTTACTATTTCAGGAAACAAATCTTGTCTAGCAATAGAAATAGTATTTGTTGTAATTGCTTGTTTATAATTATGAAACTGGCCCTATTGCACTTCTTCTTTTAATCTTGTGTCGAGTCGATCAGCAAGCTCACATAGAGTACTGTTCACTTTTAATTGTTGTTTAATGATCCAGTTGTAACTTTCGACTTTTGATGTGCTTTCAATGCCCACTGTGAATACTAGGTAAAGATAAGCATGAGTCTATGAACGACATTTTGGATCCAATACATATAAAAGATAATCTTTTGCTATTGAAAAATCAGTAAGTAATTTGTTTCATCTTTCTTTGAATAGAGACTCACATAAACTATTATGACACTTATAAAAATTTTTTATGAAATTATTCCAATTGTTACCCAACTTCGCTTTTAAGTTTTTGGGTAAATTTTGTGCAATATGAAAGATACAATAGGCTGAATATGTTTCAAAAAAAACAATTGAAATAGCTGTATCAAGTGCAGGATCTTCATTTGTAAACATAACAATTGAAGCTTTTCTCATAGCTTTTTTGACATGCTCAAGTATCCAAACATGTGAATCAACAGTTTCATTACTCATTAATACTTGGCAGGTGAGACAAGTTTTGCATTTATTATCAATTATTACAAAAATTCCTAATGGCATTTGGTACTGATTAGTTTTTGCCGTGTTGTTATTAACAATGACATCATAATACTTAAGCCAAAGATCAACCTGGCCAGGAGACATCTAAAGGAGACAAACTAAGTGATTGTCTTTGTCCAGTTTAAAATCAACAACCCAACATAGGTTCTCTAGTTTTTTTTGCATTAAGGAAGTAAGCAAAATTAATGCATCATTATTGACTACAGCTGTTTTTTTTACTTTTTGAATCGCATTTTCAAATCCTAGTCTTGAAAATTCAGGTCTGGAAATCAAGCCTTCAGAAGTCATTTTTGTGCAGCAAGTGACAAATTAGCATGTCTTGTTATAAGTTTAACTTCATCAATCACCTCTTAAGTTAATGATCTATATTTTACAGAAAATTTTCAGGTTTTGAAAACAAGGATATGATTATGTTGATTAATATATATTGTAATCTAAATTTGAGAAGCTTCTGATAAAGATAAGTTGATATGCAACTTGCAATTTGTTTTTTTTGTTTTCGTATTTCTTTGTGTTCTATTTAAAGCTGCTTCTAGTTTTTTTTTAGATTTATACTTTCTAGAAAATTCACAGACGAAGGTTCTTTTAATTATTTAACCTGAATTGCTTTTTTCTACCTGATATTTAGTTATCACAAAACCATTTCTAGCACCATAGTCATTAAGATAATTCTCTACTTCATCCTATGTAGTGAAATAAACACTTTTAGGAATTTTTTCAGAAGTAACTATAATTGGATCTATTAATGTAAGTCTATTAGTTTTATGTATATAAGCTAGTATTTATATGCTTTAAGTGCTTACTATTTTCACTATTTTCACTAAGTTTGCTGTTTTCTGCCTGCATTGTGGGCTTATTATTTTCACTATCTTCATTATTTTCTATGTACTCTTCCTGTGTTATAGGTGCATTATTCAACTCATAATCATCAAATATAACTAAAAAGTATATACTGATAAGTTTTGATTGATGGCTCAGTAAATTTATTTATGAAACTTATAAAATTTTTTAACTAACTCGCTAATATTATCGTTATTGATAAGTTTAAGTGGACTCGTTTTGAGAAGTCTTTAATATTGTTCTGCAGAGAAATCTGAAGGTATATGTATTTTGTAATGAAATATTGATTGTTCACAATGCATTTTGTGAATTTTTTTTTTGTAGAGTAATTTTGGGTCTACTTGTTTCATGATATGTTTATAGTGTTTTTTGGAAGATGATTGTTTAATAATGCACTTTTAAGACTTTTTTTTTACAAGCCGATTTTTTATTGTTTTGTGATGCAATTTCAACATATATGATGCAATCTGTTTATTTCAGTGTGAGTGGTAGTTGTTTTGTTTCAGGACACAATTAATAATTTTAGCAATCTTTGTTTATTTATTGTGATTTATTTTTTTAATAAATTAAGAAATATGATACTGTAATATCTTACTTCATTAACAAATGTGTAAATTATGCAGTTTTAGCTATTCTAGTTTTATATCAATATGCTATGCTAGATTTAATTACTTCGCACCTCATGAGATAAGCATTTATTCTATTATTAATTGTTATAGCTATAAAAAAACCTATAAATTATTATTAATTTTTTTTTTTTTGGTATTAAGGTGACCTCTTTGGTCTTTTGACTTTTATTAATCACTTATCGGTATTGTGGTTCA